GCGGCTGGCACTACGCGCTGCCCGCCGCCGGGCTGCGCTCCAACCTCGTCACCCAGGTGCGCGGCGCGCCGCGCGCCTCGAGGGGCTCGGGGGATGCCGGGGGCTGCGGGGGTCCCTGGGGCTGCGGGGGGTCCCTGGGGCTGCGGGGTGTCTGGGGGGTTGGGGGCTCCTGGGAGGTCTCTGGGGCTGGGGGTGTTTGGGGGATTGAGGGGTGCCCAGGGCTGGGGTGTTCCTGGGGTTTGGGTGCTGTCTGGGGAGGGTTCCTGGGGCTGGGGGAGGTTGGGGGGAATGGAGAGTCCCTGGGAACTGCGAGGGATCTGGGGAGGCTCAGGGATCTGGGAGGGGTCTCTGGAACTTAGGGGCTCTGGAGGGGTCACTGGGGGGCTGGTGGGAGATCCATGGAGGTGRGGGAGCCTGGGGAGCCCTGAAAAGATTGGGGTCTCCAGGGAGGCTCATAGAGCCTGGGGGTCCAGGGAGGTCGGGGGCTCTTGGGCTTGAGGGGCTCCCAGGAGGTCTGGGAAGGGCTCGTGGGTGTTGGGGGCGTCTGGGGCTGGGGGAGGCTGGAGGAGGCCAGGAGATGGCTGCAATGGGGGGTGTCCATGGCTTGGGGAGTCCAGGCAGCCTTGGGGGGTCCTGGGACCAGGAGGGGTCCAGGGGGTGTCCGTGGGCTGGTGGATCAGAGGGGCCAAGTTGCTGGGGGTGGGGGGATGTCCCTGGGGAGGGTGAAGGGTCGGGGGGACCCAGCAGCAGGGGGGACGGGGGGACTGGCAGCGCCCTGCCGCTGCGGTGGCTCCAGTCCCCGGTGGGGGGCAGGGGCCCGTGGCCCCCATGCCCGGCGCCTCGGCGGGGGTGTCGCGGCCCCGTGCGAGCGCTGCCCGCGCCGCAGTGGGACCTGGTGTGCGGCTCGCGCTGGAAGGTGCCGCTGGAGCAGACCACGCACCTGCTGGGCTGGGCGCTSGGCAGCGTCCTGGCCGGGCTGGCGTGTGACAGGTACCCTGCGAGACCCCCCCATGTGCCCCCGTGCCCCCCGCGCGCCGCCTCACGCCTCCCCCGCCAGGCTCGGCCGCCGTCCCGCCTTCGTGGGCGCCCTGGCGCTGGCCGTGCCGCTGGGGCTCAGCGTGGCGCTCGCCGTCGACTTCGCCATGGCCATGGCCACGCGGCTGCTCTTCGGCGCCGCGCTCGCCGGCGCCTTCCTCGCCCTCTACGTGGCCCGTGAGTGCCCGGGCGGGGAGGGCGGTGGGGCCGGGGCCGCGGCGGCGCCGAGGCCGCAGCCGCCCCGCTGGTGCCGGCAGGGCTGGAGCTGTGCGAGCCGCCGCAGCGGCTGCCCGTCACCGCGGTCGCCGCCTTCTTCTGGATCGCGGGGGAGCTGCTGCTGCCGGCGCTGGCGCTGCTGTGCCGCGAGTGGCGGGTGCTGCAGGGCGCCGTCACCCTCGTGCTCGCCCTGCTCGCGGCCTGCTGGTGGTGAGCGCCGGGGGGGCTCGGCGAGGGCCGGGGGGGCCGCGGCGCCATCAAGGGCTCCGTGCTGGRCTCTCCACCTGGAGAGCGGGCGGCACCGCGGGCATGAGTGTTTGCAGAGTGCGGCGCCTTCCCGGCACCTCGCMTGGGGCCGGGCACGGGGACAGCCCYGCTCTTGCCCAATGCCCCCAGGTGCCCGGCGCTGCTGCTGGAGTCGCCGCGCTGGCTCCTGGCCACGCAGCAGCTGGAGCGGGCGCGGAAGACGCTGCAGGCGCTGGCCGAGAGCGGCGGCGACGACGGCTGCGGCCACGAGCGGCTCYGCGCAGGCGAGTGGGGCCGGTGGCACCGGGGGCTCCGCGCTGCCCTTGCGCCCGCATCGACCGCGCGGCCGCCTCTGCCCCGCAGAGCTGGAGTCGCTGGCGCAGGCGTCCCCGCAGCCCCGCTACCACGCGGTCTGCGACATCTTCAGCACCCGCGTCATCTGGAAGAAYGGCGTCATCCTCGGCTTCAGCGCGTGAGCACCGCGCGGCGGCGCTGCGGGGGCGAGCGGCGCCCCCCGCCCGCCCTCACCGCCGGCCCCGCAGGTTCATCGGCTCGGGCATCCGGCAGTGCTTCAGCCGCAACCTGGCCCCGCACCTGCCCCGCTTCCTGCACTCCTACTTCGTGCTCGTGGGCACCGAGGCGGCCGCCTGCGCCTTCGTGAGCGTCACGGCCGAGCGGTTCGGGCGCCGCGCGGTGCTGCTGCTCTGCACCGTGCTCACCGGCATCGCCTCCCTGCTGCTGCTCGCGCTCACCCAGTGTAAGGCCCGGGGGCRCCGCGGGCGCCGCGCGCGGGGGGCTGCACCCAGCGGCGTTTCTGCCCCCAGACCTGCTGGAGCTCATCGTGCTCACGCTGTCGGTCGTGGGCGTCACGGCCTCGCACGCCGTCACCATGCTCAGCATCTTCTTCGCCAGCGAGGTGCTGCCCACCGTGGTGCGGTGAGGACGGGGACGGTGCATGGGCGAGGGGGGGTCCTCACCCTGGAGACCCCCCGTCACCCGCAGCGCTTCCCCCCGCAGGGGCGCGGGGCTGGGCCTCGTGGTGGGCGCCAGCTTCGTGGGCAAGGCGGCCGCCCCCATCACGGCGGTCGCCAGCAGCCGCGGCTTCTTCCTGCACCACGTGGTGTTCGCCTCCTTCGCCATCCTCTCGGTGCTCAGCATCATGCTGCTGCCCGAGAGCCAGGGCCGCCGCCTGCCGCAGTCGCTGCAGGACGGCGAGGGCCAGCGGCGGCCCCCGCTCTTCCGCCGCCCCCGCCGCGACGACCACGTGCCGCTGCTGGCCCCCCCGCCCGCCCCCCCGGCCCCCCGCTACGCCCCCCACGAGACGTAGGGCCCGGCGCCCCCGCTGGGACCGTGTCCTGCCCRGGGGGAGCGGGGCTGGGAGCTCCGCGGGGCCCCCCGGGCCGGGGGGAGGTTGGGGCAATAAAGTGCCTTGTTTGTAGCGGTGGCTGCGCGGGGGGCGCGTGTCCCTGGGCAGGAGGTGACCATGGCACCGTGCTCAGGATCTTTATTGGGGGGGTCCTTGTGCCCGCGCTGTCACTGCCCTCCTGTGCCAGCCCTGCCTAACGTTGGGCCCTTGCACCCCCGAGGGGCTCCGTGGGGCCGGGAGCGCCCGGCCGCGCTGCTGCTCCKGCCCTCACCGGGGGCTCAGGGTCCCGGCTGCGGCCTGGGGACTCTGCAGCCAGGGGCCTGCAGGTGCACACGCGTGTGCAAATCCCCCCGGATGGGCACCCTCTGGTGCAAATCCTTATGGGAGGAACCTTCCAGCTGCACACACGTGTGCAAATCCCCGTGCCTGGCACATCCTGCTGCATGCRCAAGTGCAGAGCACGGTGCCTACGCGCCTTGTGCACACGCGTGTGCAAGCCTGTCAGCTCGGGCACACGCGTGTGCAAAGCAGAGCTCATGCACAGGCGGGTGCAGCCTGCTCGCTGGCGCACGCGCGGGCCGGGCGCTGTGCCCGCGGGCGCCGCTACGGGCCGTAGAGGTCGGCGAGGCGGCGGAAGCGCGGCCCCCACTCGCGCAGGTAGTCGTAGTCCTGGTCCTCGTCCGCCAGGCTGGAGACGAGCGAGCTGAGCGCGCTGCCCACCGAGCCCGAGCCCTCGTAGTCGTAGATGAGCGCCGTGTCGTAGGGCGGCACGCCGGGGTCCCCGTCCGCCGCCGCCAGCCCCTGCGGGACGGGGGTGTCAGCGCCGGGGCCGCCGCCCGGCCGCGGGGGACGGGGGGCCCCGCACCTCGTTGATGAAGTCCTCGATGGCCGAAGGGCTGCGGGGCGCTGGGGGGGAGCCGAGGCGCCGCGGGGCGGCCCCGCGCGCTGGCACCGGCGGGCACCGCAGCTGCTCCATGTCGTAGGCGTCCTGCACGGGACGGGACCGGGTCAGGGGGACCGGGGGGGACCCTGCGCCCGCGCCRCCCCYGCCGCTCACCTGGTCCTCCTCRCCGCCCCCCTGCTCGTCGTAGTTGAGGACGTTGTCGCGCACGTCGTCCCGCGAGCGCCGCAGCAGCGCCCGGCGCTGCGCCCGCCAGCGGCCCCGCTCCCGCGCCGCCCCCAGCAGCGCCAGCACTGCGGGCACAGCCATGGCACCGCTATGGCACCGTGGGCACCATGGGCACCGCGGGCACAGCCATGGCACCGAGGGCACAGCCATGGCACCGCTATGGCACCGTGGGCACCATGGGCACCGCGGGCACAGCCATGGCACCGAGGGCACAGCCATGGCACCGCGATGGCACCCCAGGGATGGCAGCTTGTGCACTGCATGGGGTGCGGGAAACAGCTGGAGTGGGGGATGAGGGTGAAGGGTGGGAGATGCAGGATGCAGGAAGGGGCTGGTGTTGGAGATGGGGCATTCGGGAATGGAGCTGGCATGGGAGATGCAGGATGGGAGATGGTGGATGTGGGAAGGCGTTGGGACAGGGTGGTCAGCGGGGAGGGGGCACAAGATGGGCCCTGGGTGGCTGCCTTGGGAGGCAGAAGGGCCGAGCCAGCCCATGGGGGCACAGGGGATGGCCGGGCAGGGGGTCGGGATGGGGGCACCGGGGCAGGGCTGGATGGGGCCGCCCGGGGCGCTGGCTGCGGGGGAGGAGGGGGCGCCGGGAGGGTCTGGGGGCGCCACTCACGCAGGAGGAGCAGGAGGCTGCCGAGGATGGCGAGGAGGGCGCCGAGGGCGACGCCGGCGCCGGCGCGGGCGGCAGCCAGGGCGCCGTCCTCACAGGCCCCGTCGGCGTCGCAGGGGCACACGGAGACGTTGAGCAGCTGCTGCCGCTCCCGCGGGGGGGTCCCCGAGTCCCGCAGCAGCAGCGGCAGCGAGTAGAGCCCCGGGGGCAGCGGCACGAGCGGCGCCAGCACCGCGTGCGTCACTGCGGGCGCACCCGGTGAGCGCGGCCCCGACCCACACTGCCAGACCCCCCTCTCCCCTTGCGGGCAGCCCCTCACCGTTGTATCGGGCGACGCTCCAGTTGCGGGTGAGCTGGGGGTGCTGGGGGCTCAGCTGGAAGTGGAAGGGGGCGGCGTGGGGGGGCCGGTCGTCGTCGGTGGCGCCCAGCAGCAGGCGGGCGCGGGGGCCGGGCCGGGCGCAGAGCGCGCCCGCGGGCGGCTGCAGCAGCGGCGCGTGGTCGTTCACCTCCACGATCTCGATGGAGAGCGTGCCCGTGGCCGAGAGCGGCGGCCGGGCTGCGCCGGGGGTCAGTGGGAGGGCTGGCGGCAGCGGGGGGGGGGCATTTGGGGAGAGGGGCTGCTCACCGTCGTCGTGCGCCAGCACCAGGGCGATGTACCAGCCGCCCTGCAGGAAGGCGGCCGGGGGCCGCCGCGGGCGCTGCGTGCGCACGGTGCCCGCGCGCGGGTCCAGCTGCAGCCACCCGGCCGGGTCGTAGAGCAGCGCGTAGCTGTGGGCGCACGGAGCGGCTGTGACGGGGCCGGGACRCCCGGACAGGGGTCCCAGCAAGGGCGCCCGTGCCCGGACTCACGTGAGGGTCTGCAGCTGGCGCGTGTCGGGGTCGCTGGCCGTGAAGGCGAGGAGCTCGGTGCCCGGCGCGGCGCCCTCGGGCACGCTGAGGCGCCGYGGGTTCTCGCGGAAGACGGGCGCCTCGTTGACGTCGCGCACGCGCACGTGCACCGTGGCGAGCGCCCGCGCGCTGCCCCGCGCGCCCGCCGCCGGCGCCCGCTCGTTCTGCACCGACACCGTCAGCTCGAAGCGATCCCGCCTCTCGTGGTCCAGCGGCTGCCGAGAGCGGCCGCGGGGGTCAGCGGGTGACACTGCCACCCGCGGAGGGACATCCCCGTGCCGGCGCCCGCGCACCTTGGCCACGGAGAGCACGCCGTCGTTGGTGTGCGGGTCTGTGCGGATGGCGAAGGCGCCCTCGGGGTCGCCCTCCAGGATGGTGAACTTGGCGCGCCAGTTGGGCGAGCCGGCCAGGTCCTTGTCGTGCACCAGCAGCTTGCCCACGTCCACGCCGGCCACCTGCTCCGGCACCTCCATGGAGAACTGCGGGGCGGCACCGGGGCGCTGGCACCGCGGCGCACACGGAGCCCCCCTATCTGCAAACCCCTGCCGTGCCCCTCGGCAGCGCCGCTACCTCCTCCTGGGTGAACTCGGGCGGGTTGTCGTTGATGTCCTCCAGGTAGATGACGGCGGTGGCCGTGGTGGCCAGCCCGTCCCCGGACATGTCGGCCACCTGCAGCGTCAGGTTGTAGACGGCGACGGTCTGCGGGGGGACGGGGCAGGCGCTGACCCCTCGGCCCCCGGGCACGGAGGGACCCGACAACGCGTCCCCAGGGCTGCGGCTGCTCCTGGCGCCCGCCGTGCCCGCCGGTACCTCGCGGTCGAGGCCGGGCCGCGCGGTGCAGATCTCGCCGGTGGTGGCGTTGATGGTGAACATGCCGCCGGCGCCCGGCTCCAGGATGGAGTAGCGCAGCGCCGCATTGTCCGTCTCGGCGTCGTCGGCGTCCGTGGCCTCCACCCGCAGCACGCACGTCCCTGCGGCCGCGTGGGCGTCCCCGTGTCCCCCCATGTCCCCCCATGTCCCCCCGCCCCGCGGCGCGCGGGCCCCACCTGGCTCGGCGCCCTCCCGCACGCGCGCGGTGAACACGTCCTGCCGGAAGAGCGGCCGGTTGTCGTTCTGATCCACCACGATGATCTCCAGGTCCGTGGGCTCCTCCAGCGTGCGGCCGCCCAGGTCCAGCGCCAGCGCCTTGAGCTGCGGGCGCCCGGGGCGTGTGGGCAGGGGCRCACAGGGACCCGGGGGACACCCCGGGGGGACGTCCCGGCCCCCCGTACCCGGTAGCGGTCGTTCTGCTCGCGGTCCAGCGTGGCGTTGAGGAAGACCTTGCCGCTGAACTTGTCGATGGAGAAGATGCCCACGGGCTCCTCGTCCACCCCCGGCCCCTTGATGCTGTAGACGACCCCCCCCGGCTGCTGCTTGTCCGACTTGATCTGTGCAGGAGAGCGGGGCTGGGCGGGGGGCTCCGTCCCACAGACCCCCCCCATCCCCTTGCGCTGCTGTGGGGCTGGCTCAGCCCCCCAGCCCGGCCCCATGGGGAGCTGCAGGTGCCCCTGCCCCCTGGCAAAGCCTCTCCCTGCAAAGCCCCCTGGCAAAGCCTGTCCTGCTATCCCCGAGGTCCCCCCCAAGCCATAGCCCCCATTGGGGTCCTCCTGTGACACCCCCTGCCTCAGCATTCTGTCCTCCCTGGCCCCCCATGTCCATCCCACTAGACTCCACCCCCTCCCCCGCCCCCCATGTCCCTCCCTATAGACCCTCCCCATATCCCACTCTCCCTGATCCCCCATGCCCACCTCAAGCCCCACCCCGTATCCCACTCCCCTGCCCCCCACTCCTCCCCCAGCCCCCGTATCCCGCCCTCGCTGCCCACCTGCACCAGGAGGTGCGGGATGCGCTTGTGGTTCTCGGAGACGCTGATGGGGGGGATCACCCAGGCCCTCTTCACCCGCCGCGGCGCCTCAGGGTGCCGCCAGGCCGGGCGCAGTGGGGGGGGCCCTGGGGCCACAGCTCCCGCCTGGCCCAGCCCCGCACCCTGCGGGGGCCCAGATTGCTGCTGGGGGGCACYGGGACCCCCCRMAMCCTGCRGGGGCCCAGATTGCTGCYRGGGGGCACCGGGACCCCCCGCACGAGGGGCCAGGTGCTGCGGGGGGCACTTGCCTTCCCCCCCTCTCCATGCAGCAGCAGGAGCTGGATTCCCACGGCCCCCCCGGCCGGGCACAGCGCCAGGTCCCAGCGCGGGCCCCGCTGCATCCGGCCCCGCTCCCTTGTGCCCATGTGGGGCTGGTACCGGGGTGGGGGGGGCTGTGGGGCCGAGTGCCGCCCTCATGGACTGAGGGGGTCTGTGCTGGCCCCACGGCCGGAGGGCTCCCCGGAGATGCCGCCATGGGGCTGCCCGGCTGCACTGGCCATTGTCCGTCTGTCCCCCCATCCCGGCACAACAGCCCTCGCCGGGCACGGGGTGGGGGGCGCGGGGACTGCTGCCCGTGGGGCCCAGGCCCCAGAGCAGAGTGAGGGGCTGGYGGGGGGACGTGCAGGGCGGGGGCAGGACCCCAGGGCTGCAGCTGGGCGGGCAGGGGACCGTGTGTCTCAACCCCCCCAAACCCCATCTCACAAACACACGCAGCGCCCCCGAGCCGGCGCTGCCCCCCAACCCCAGGGCACGGAGTGCCCCACAGGGGACACAGAGCCCCCTGTGCCCCCAAGACACTGCTCCATGGGGTCCATCCACCCCAGCACCCGGGTCCCCACATCGAGCTGCAGCCCCCAGCCCATGTCCCATGGGTCCCGCCTGCCCCATGGAGCCCCGCGCCCCGCGGTGCCGCCCGCGCCCCCTTACCCGCGCGCAGAGCGGGGCCAGCAGGCAGGCGAGCAGGAGCGGGGAGCCCATGGCCGCGCGGAGCGCGGGGCAGCGCGGCGCGGCGCTGAAATACCCCGGGCCTGGCTGAGTGACAGCACATGTGCTGGCCCGGGCAGCTGCCCCGCGCGGCCCCCTGCCCGCGGGACGCGCTTAACCCCGGCCGCGCCG